TTTAACTTTTCTATTCAGACTAAGACTTCATTCATAAGAAAGCTTAAGTTCTGAGAACATGAATGAGAAAAATAATGAGGTCATTTATTTTTGTCAGCAGTGAGACCATTCATGATAAAAATAAGCCGCTAGCGGCAAGGGCGAAGCCCATGTGGTCATTTACAATACTGCGATGGTAGAGTTTAAGAGTTGTGCTTCAATGTAGAGACAGTCCTTATGGTCTGGAGGTAAGAACACTGGGCAGTTATGGTCATGAGTGGAGAACATGTCTATCCAAAACTCACGATTGAAGCCAGTTAATTTATAGTATTTAGGATTTGGCAGTGGTGTAGTTCTTGTATGACCAATGAACTCATTTTCAACTCCCTTACTTAAGTTTGAATATAATATAGCTTGCTTTCTATCCCAAATGCCAGGTGTGACAATTTTGAAAATTCATTTTTCCTCGGAAGCATTGCATCATAATTGAAAACATTCTTGAAATCGTCACTTGGTTCAGAGATTTGAAATCTTATACGTAATGGATTTTCTTTCTCTTTAGCGACTTCATTGAATGGTGAGAATACAACAAACTGACAGTCATGTGTTCCATCTTCATTTTCATTAAATTCATAATGAAAGTCTATAAGTTGTGGCTGACTACCTTCTTCTTTCAGTTGTGCAAGAAACTCACGTAAAGGCTGTAAAGTTTGTACTTCAATGTTAAACTTTTTCTCGAACATTTCATTAAATGAAATCATACATTGCAACAATGTTGTATCGTCTTTAAAGTATTTGTATATGTGAATGTTTTGGGCGCTTAAAGACTGTTCGTCATTTTCTATCTCGACTTGAAGTATAAAGTCAACCTTTCTGAAAGCACGTGTTATATACATAGATGTTATGCCAATGTACTTCTCTTCATTTATGTTCACAATCCAGTCTGTTGGAAACTTAAACGTTACTCTGTTCCCCTTTATTTTGACGTCAGGGTTTTCACTACTGAACGCAACAGATAAAGGTATTTGTCTATACATTTAATTCGGATAAAAATAAACCATTTACTCTTTCTTTGCTTCAGCTTCTTTAGCTTTTGCTTCAGCTTCTTCTCTAGCTTTCTTCGCCAGCAAACGTGGGTTCTTTTGTCTTCCAGCAGCTAATGCAGCAAGTTGTTTTTCACTAAGTTTTCTCTTTGGTCTCTCTGGCTTTTGTTCTTGTTTTTGTTCCTTCAGTTCGGATAAAATTTGCTCACGAATTTCTTTCTTCAATGCTTCAACATCTATGACCCCTTGGGTCTTGTCCGTAGGGCTTGTCTGAGTCATTTGACTGCAGATAAAAAACAAAATTAAAACTTTAACCGATGTAAAATGAGCTTGTCAAAATCAGAGCGAGAGTCTATTATATTAAATGACGCAAGAGGAATACAACATCCTTTCTATTACGTAAGTCAGAGTAAAGATGGTAAAATATACGTAAGAAAAAGAAAGGTTCCATTAGCGAATGCAGAAAGCGACAACATTAAGGTGCATGGCAAGGGTGAAGTCCACGAAGCCCATGTAAAACCTTCTGTTCAAACTGAGCCACCAAAAAGAACAAGAAGAAAAGAAGCCAGATGTACTTTCAATAACGAACCAAGAGCTTATTGCAAAGTTCGTGAATTTCATTGAAAAACAAACCGAGTCAAAGAACCCTGACCCGCCAGTGAAAGAAGTTGAGACAAAAGAGAATGTACAGTTCATTGAAAATGTCAAGAAACAACTTCCACCACGAATGCCAAGAAGAAGAGTGAGAATAATGAAGTAAATAGATATTTTTATCTGAAGTAAATACATGCAGAACGAACAGCTAAACGAATTTACTCCAGCAGAGCATATTCATCAGATTCGCTCATATTTCGATATCATAGACAATGCAGTTCAAATTGGTGACACTAATAGAAAATATTCTGACGCAAAGATTCCATCACAACCTGGAACTGCTAAAGATAACACATGGGTAACATTCAATCTCTCACCTCCTGGTGAAAATATGTTGGACCTTTACAATACATTCATTACGTATAAAATGGAAGGTCAATTTATTGTAGATAAAGAAATTGGTTCAGGTTCCAATAAAACAAACCCACCAGGATTTTGGATTGGTTTCGATGACGCTTTCTATGCAGTTGCTGGATATCAAATCCTTGCAAATGGTCGTATCGTATATTCTCAAGACAACGCAAGAGAAGAAGCATATATAACTTCAAACTCACAAACTACCGAACAAATAAAGAAAGTAGATGTTTTCTCAAAGACTCGACATGAAGATGTATGGAGTCATTCGGGAACATGCAGAACAGGACAAATTGTTAGTGGTCCAATTACAGCAGGAAAATCATTTGATTTTAAGCTTCGTTTAAGAATTCCTGTTAGAAGATTCCTTCCATTAGAAGCTATTCGATTTATTCCAGCTTTTGCAGGAAACATTCAGCTTAAAGTAAAGTTCAGTAGCGACGCCTTACAATGCACATCTATATCTGTAAATGATATCATTGCTTTCAATCCAACTCTTAAAGTTGCATTTGCTTCAGATTCAAATCCACCGACAAATAAATTTGTTCCATGGAATGAACCATTCACTATGATAACGAAGGCAGTAGAAGCTAGTGGAACAGTTACTATTACAACTGTAACCCAGCAACTATTTCGAACAAAGATGGATTTTAATGAATGTTTCATTCATCCAAAGTCATTCTCTTTAGACCCTAACATTTATACAGAACTTGTAGAACATTATACAAACGAGGCTTTATGTTTTCCTGTTAAAGTTATGGATTGGATTCCTATGGACGGTTCATTCTCAAAGAATACAGATAGTTCAAGTGCAACATTTACAGCAGCTTATACGCCTATTAATGTTAAAAGTATTTGGGCACTATTTAGAAAGAAAGACAACTATTATGTTAATTTTGAGAACCCTAAGTTTAAATATCTTCAGCTTTCCATGGGAGCTTATGGAAATATGCCTGCAGAACCTGAAAAATCATATGGACCTGTATTTTATGAAATGGTTGCGAACGCCTGCAATACAAACAATGATATGATAGGATTTAATGAAGATGTTATGAGGTCATTGGTGGATGATGGTAGTGTGGAACATAAATGGGATAGCTATGACAACACACATTTCTTATGTGGTTTTCCAACAGAAGTGGACTTTTGCTTCCAGCAAGGTCAAACATCTACTGCTCCAATAACATACAAATTGTCTGTTAAAGGACCTATTGAACTAGCAACTGAAAATGTACCAAAGCCACTTATTGGATTTATGAGGGATTGTTGCTTTGCCATTCAGGTGCGTGCTAATGGCATCCCCATAATAAGATTAGATGACTATAACTTAGCTACGGACGACAGTGAGGAATAAAGGATGAACGTTTATTTTTAAAGCTTATAAATGAGTTCTTCATCAAGCTCTCGTGAACCTTCACCATCTATGAAACAAACTTTACCAAACGATTATGGAGCACCTATTGAATATTTCTTACGAGCTGCACAATGGCAAAGAGCAGTCTCACCAAGGTTAGGTGTTCCACCAGCTCCTGTCAAAAATAGCATTTGGTCAAGTCCTTATATAAGATATGGTCTCCCACTAGGTTTGCTAGCTACAGCAGGAGCAGTTATGATGTTGAAAAGAAATAAAGCAAATGTTGTAAATAATACTGAAGTAGCTGAAGTTAAACAAACTCCAACACCTTCGCCAAAACCAACGCCTTCACAAACAAAACCTTCAATGACTCCTGAACCTATGGAAGTACAAACTCCTGTTCAAAAGTCAACTCCTAAACCGACTCCAACATTTAAACCAGAACCTACTCCTCAAATAAATCGTAAAACTCCTGCGTTTCCTTACTGAAAAAATAACGTTATTTTTTATTTAATATTAAAATTTTTATTTGATTGAAATGACAAATAAAGTCACTGAAGCAATGAAACAAAAGTTTTTGGTAGAATACATTAAATCAGGAACTATTCCAGAAGGTTTTTACATTCATACTATGAAGGATGGTAGAGTTCAGTTTAGAAAGATAAAGCAACCATTAGATAAAGAAGGAATTTTGAGAAAGATTAAACTTCATGAGGACAACATTGCTGAACTTAAGAAGAAGTTAGAAGAGTTGGAGAAAGGAAGAGAGTTATAAAGCAATGAATTCAACAGGGTGAAAAAACAGGTGAAAAAAGAGGTGAGATCTCACCACTTCACCTAAATTTATTTTTGTGCTATGTTTTCATACGTGTGGGAGTGGTGATATCATTAATTTTTAAGTTTATTTTTTATTTTATTTTTTATTTTATTTTTATATAAATGACAGAACAAAAGCAACTCATACAAATCGAAAAATATAACAAACATACATTTAAACATTTATTCTTCCTTCCTGAGTATAACATGTTCTTTACACTTCATCCTAGACCAGTAGATTATACATTGACTGTGTATAAAGATTGTCATGGTAGTTTTATAAAAACTTATGATGATGAAGGTAATTTAACAAGACTATGCATTTCAAAACTTGAGAAACTTTATGACTTCAAGTATGACTACAATAGAGTTAACATTGACAATGAAGATATAGAAGAAAATTTATGAGAACGTTTATTTTTTTCATTAGTGAAGTCGTTTGTGAAAACGTTAGTGAGGTGAAGTGGTTGGCGGCTTTGTAAATATTTAAGGTTAAGTTAGTTTTTGCGTTTGTGTTGTAAAATATACGTTAACGGTTTCGTAAAGTGTCAAATTCACATATAATGGGTAAGTAGGTGCGCAGTGCCTCCATACCCAACTAACCCATACTAACTTATCTCAAGGACGAAAACGCAAAATATCAAAAGATTTTCACTTATGTTTTGATCGCAATAATTGTGTTGAATTTAATCATATATCCGATTATTTTCATATCACAAGTCAGAAAGATTCGTCACAACAGATATGAAATTTTACACACATTGACAACATTACCGAAGACTGTCATCAGCAGTATCTCAATGTCACTCAGCAAGACGAAAGAAGGCAAAGATGGCTCAGATAACACAGATTCAGAGTTATCTCGCCAAGAAGAAAGTATTATTAAGCTCTTTAGCTCAGTAAGCGATGGTAGTTCAAAGTCTTCTATCGAAGTTTCTAACTTAATTTGCTTTTTGTTGATTATCGGTTTAAGTTGCACTGGATACTACCTTTCTATCAATAGTTTCCAGCAATCTAGTGAGAACTTAGTCTATACATCACACCACATCAACTATTTATATGGTGCTGCTGTTTATCTCTTCGCAATTATCGCAAGACTCTTCAAGATCGGTCTTGGAAAGTGTTCACCAGAATTCGAACCATCATTGATTGGTATCGAACACAAAATCTCATTAATTAACGAGACAACACCATATCTTGTTAATTATTTCCAGAAAATCAGACTTGGAGGTGAAGATAAGAGAGAACTCCCATTCCCAATGATGGAGAGAGCCATGTCAAGAGCTTCTGAACAACTTAAATGCAAAGATGAAATTGCTCCACCGAAGACTGTGATGGAATCAGTCCATTGCATGACAGCTGGTCAGCAATTGTATATTAGTACATCTTTGATTAAGAAATATTATGCTCAAATGATCTCAGAAACACCAATTTACCCAGATCCACGAGATATTGCTTTACAGCAGCTTTTCCAGGTCGGTCCTGTTGAATTATACCAAGCATTCTTTGCTCCAACAGGCAAAGAAATAGTTCCAATGATCAGATCCGAAGTAGATGTCCAGCAAATGGATCAAATTTTGTATTCCATCATTTTCATGGTTGTCACTTTTCTAATTTCATTGATCGTAATTTTTGTTGCCAAAAATGAAGACAAATTATTAAAGTTCACACTCAAATTGTTCTTAAGATGTCCTCCAGCATCTATTATTAGCAATCAAAGAGTTATGGACTTAATTTCCGGAAATTATAATTATTCCAACGACGACAACTCGAACAAACATGTTTGGTTCTCCAATGAAGTTGTCAACAGATTGGATGACGTTATAATTGTCTGCGAAGACGAAACAGGAAAGATTGTAACTGTTAATGCAGCATTTGAGCAAATGTTCGATCTTACGAAGCACCAAATGGAAGGAAAGAACATCCACGAGTTCTTCACGGAACAAAGATTCAAATCCGACAATCTTGAGAAAGTTTTTACTCAAGATACAAATCTTGTTTACACAAAAAGTGACGGAACTCCAGTTTACTTTGAATTCACAACAACATCGATCAGTGGAAAGAGATTCTACTCCGGAACTAACCAGACAATGAATGTAATGCATGAGAAGTTAATTGCTGATGAAAAGAAGAAGTCAGATGCTATGTTAGCGAGTATTTTACCACCGATGTTAGTTTCACGAGTTCAAGCTGGCGAAAAGAACATTTCTTTCTCAGTACAATCAGCCACAGTTCTTTTCTTGGATGTCGTAGAGTTCACACCATGGTGCGGCTCTCACGATGCACAGTACGTCATGAGAATGCTGAACATCATGTTCAAGGAATACGACGCGATCACTAATTCACACAAGACAATGACTAAAATCAAATGCATCGGAGACTGCTACATGGCTGCAGGAGGCATCTTCGACGAGGTGAATCAGCCTGCAGTACACGCGAAAGAGGTCGTTGACTTCGGATGCCAAGTCATCAAGAAACTCCTCGAGATCGACGAGAGAGAGAACGAGTCACTGAGAATAAGAGTTGGTGTAAACACAGGAGGTCCGATCGTTGCTGGTGTCATCGGAACAGAGAAACCAACATTCGAAATTTTGGGTCCTGCAATCAACATCGCACACGAAATGGAACATCACGGTGTTCCAATGAAAGTACACATCTCTAGACCTGTCTACGAACTCATTTACGGTCAGCAGTTCGATATAAAGGAAAGAGGTGAAATAGATGTCAAGGGTGGAAAGATGTTCACTTACTTAGTTGAACCATAACTTATTTATATATGTTTTTTTATTTTTTTTTGTATGTATTTAGTTTTACTCTTTTTTTAAAAAGTGTTTTATAGATTTATTTAAATAAAGTCTTTTTCACACTAATCATCATGTTATAAGTATAACTTTAAATCTTTGTACTCTTTGCAAAGTACCTTTTACGATCAGATGATATCAATTTTTACTTCACTTAAAAATTATGTTGGATCTATTAAAAACCACTAGATATTAGTATAATATTAATAGTTCAATATTATGATGCATTATTATACAAAGTTTATCATCAATAGATCAGATTTACTTAAATCAAATGCAATTAAGGTTGAAGAACATAAATATTTCATTTAATTGTCAATTAATATCGACTATAATATTTAAACAAGTCAACATTAGAACAAAGCTCTCTTAATGTGGTTAGATAAACCTTAGAAATTCAATTCCCGATAACATTTCTCAAATTTGAATTCTACAAAAATGATTAGGAATAGCAAAATAAAATTCTTTTTTGTAATCTTATTTTAATATGAAAAAATCTCTCAGAAAAACACTAATTTGTCAAATTTTTCAATGCAAATTAAATTTTTTAATCGATACTTCAACTCATAAATTTGTTGTCAACAATTGATTTTAACCTTCTCATAAATTTTTAAAAGTTTACTCTCAAAATTTTCTATGAATTGAAATTAAATTATTACCATGCTTTCTTATCTTTTTTCTCTTTCTATAAGCTTCTCATTCACAACACAACAGACTACCCTTTATATAACAGGAAGCGGAACATTATCAGCTTCAACAGTTACTCAAAATTGTGATATGACTACAGTAACAGTGATTTATTTAGGCGAAGGATGCACTGCACTTTCATCAAGTGCATTCTATAATTTTGCTTCATTGACTGATTTATATTTACCATCAACATTACAAACAATAACAGGAGGAGATACGAGATATTGTTTTAATTTAGCAAATATTTATCTCACATCAGGGAGTAGCTACCTGGAACTTGATAGTTATGGAGCACTTTACACAAAAGGAAAGGGAAAGTTAATTAGATGCCCTCCAAAGAAAACAGCATTTACATTTTCATCAGAAACTACAATTATTGGAGAACAAGCATTCCAAGGTTGTAGAAAAATTTCAACTCTATATATTTCAAAAAATATTACAACAATTAATGGAGGTTTCATTTACGATTCTTCTTTTTCTAAGATTTATATTGAATCAGGATCTCATTTAACTACATTAACATCATGGTCTTATGCAACATCTCTTTCTTACATATTTATTACAAAAGATATTACATCAATTGGATCAAGCTGTTTTTCATATGATTATTCATTGAAAACATTAGATTTTGAAACAGGAAGTGCATTGAAATCTATCGGAAGCAGTGCCTTTTATAGATGTGGTTTTTCGAGTTTCACATTTTCCCCAAATTGTACAACAATAAGTTCTTCAATATTTAATATTGTTAATAACTTAAAATATGTTTATATTCCTGCATCTTTAACAAGTATTGATACTCAAGCATTTACTGGAGCAGTAAATATCCAAACAATTGAAATTGATCATGATAATCCAGTTTATACAGTTATTGCGCCAGCAACATTGATGCTAAAGAGCGGTACAAACTTTATCTACATTCCTCCATCAACAACAGAGATTACTATTCCTGCATCAATCACAGACTTTGGTTTAACATTATTCCAATCATGCACTCAATTAACTTCAATTGATGTTAATTCATCAAATACAAAATTCTCTGCTGATGGAGGAATTGTATATGACAAAGCCTACACAAAGGCAATTGCGTGCATCGGTGGAATAACAAGTGCGACATTGAGATCCGAGTGCACTGCTGTTGGTGATTATTGTTTTTATCAATGCACAACTCTTCAAAATGTAACACTAAATGAAGGTTTATTATCTTTAGGAGGCAGTGCATTTTATGGAACAAAATTTACAAATATTAGTATACCATCGACAGTTACAACAATATACTCATATTGCTTTTATTTATCATCAATAAATTATGTTACAATTAATGGTAATGGTCCTAAAGAGTTACAAGCATATTGTTTTAATTCTTGTCAGATTGTTGAAATTCATTTAGGTTCTAATTTTGCAACATTAGGTGGACTAGTTTTTTCATCGAGTCCAATAGTTACAGTTACATTTGATCCAGATTGTCCATTATCAACATTACAATCACAAGCATTTATAAGCTGCTCAAAATTGAAGAATCTTCAAATATCTAAGAATGTTTTGACATTGGGAGAAAGATCATTCTATGGAGATTCTGCCTTGACAAACTTTTCCATTGCAGAAGGATCTAAGTTATATTATATAGAAACTTTATCATTTTATGGTTGTGGAATGCTATCTATCACATTTCCATCAACAATTTCATATCTTGGAGCAAATTGCCTTGCATATTGTACGAATTTGGCATCCGTCACATTTACAAGTGGATCTGCTTTAACTACATTAGGTGGTGGTGTGTTTAGATCATGCACATCATTGAAAAATATAACAATTCCTGCTTCTGTAACTACATTTGATGCATCTGCTTTCTCATATTGCTCAAGTCTAACTGACATAAATGTAGAAACTGCAAACCAGAATTATATGAGCTATGAAGGAATTGTTTACACAATTGACAAGCAAAGATTAGTATGTTGTCCTGGAGGAAAGACATATGCGCTTGTTTTCAATTACATATTAGTCATTGGATCAAATGCATTTTACGGATGTACAAAACTTCAGAATTTGACATTCGAAGATGGATGCCAGCTCCAAACAATAGAAGATGGCACATTCTACTCATGTACTGCTCTTGTGAGAGTTGATCTCCCAACATCACTCCAGACTGTTGAGCAGAATGCTTTTGCAGGATGCACACTCCTGTCTGTTATTACATTCCCTGATTACGCACTTGCAAACTTGAATGCAGACTCGATATTTGCAGATTGTTCTTCACTAACAACTTTCACATTCGGAAAGTATTGTGCTTTAACAGTTTTTGGATCAAACATATTCTCTAATTGCGTGAAACTTTCAACTATTATCATTCCAGCAAACTGCACAACTATCGGTGATGGTGCATTCTCGAACTGTGTATCACTATCGAATATAACATTCGAGTCAAACTCTCACATGAGATCTCTGAGCTCAACTGCATTCTCTGGATGCTCTTCTCTCTTAAATTATACAATACCTGACTCATATGATGAAATAAATTCATCTTGTTTCGGAGGTTCAAAATATATCACGACAGTCAACATTAAAAGTAATTTAACAATCAAGAAAATTGCATCGAAAGCATTTTCATCATTTCCACTAGCGTCTATTAATTTTGGATCAGGGACAACAGTATCCTTCATCGATGATAGTGCATTCATTAATAGTCAGATTGCTAAGTTCGAAATGGACTCACCTATGACAATATCAAGTAATGCTTTCAATGGTTGCACCAAACTTAGTTCCATTTCTGTCCTTGGCACAATCTCTATTGGATAATCTGCTTTCTCAGGATGCACATTATTATCATATTTCATTGTTTCATCTACTTGCACATCTATCGGATCTAATTGCTTCTATGGATGCACCTTTCTATCATATATTGATTTCATAGCGACATCATCAATCACGAGTATTGCTGACAATTCTTTCTATGGATGCACTAAGCTATCGAATATCAATTGGATCCAAGTCATTCTACGGATGCACTCAACTCGTAAATATTTCTTTCGTGAAAGGATGTTCGTTGTCTTCAATCGGAACGGATGCATTCTATGGTTGTACTTCATTGACAAACTACACAATACCTGATTCATTCGTCAACATAACTTATTTGCTATTTGGATCTGCACCTTCAATTAAAACAGTTAATATTCCGTCAAACATGAGTATTGTTTGCATTGGATCGAAAGCATTTGACACATTCCCTCTCGAATTCTTCAATATCGGAACTGGTACTACGATATCGTACATAGATGATTACGCATTTGCAAACAAGAAAATACATTCTTTCATTCTCGAATGCGATGTTTGCGTATCATCATATGCATTCACAAATTGCACAAATCTTGAGACGATTAACATAACAAAAATGAAGTCTAATGAAACATTCTCGAAAGCATCAGTATCATCAGTGTTATCGGCAAGAAAGGTTCTATCATCGAATGAAGATGTTTATTACACACTTCCAGAAGGTATTTTTGATGGATGTACATCTCTGAAGGTTACAAACATAAATATGAATATATACAATATATCATCATATGCATTCAGGAATTGTGTTGCACTATCATTCTCGATTCCTTCTTCTGTAACTTATATTGGAGACTACTCATTCGATAATTGCAAGTTAGTGAATAACATCCCAAAGATGGTTACATTCTTCGGAAACTATTCATTCAGAGGATCAGGAATTGGAAGAACGATGAAACTGAACACCAACACAACATTCATCGGATTTTCTTCATTCTTCAACACATCGCTTATAGTTGTTTATTACTGCGGAGACAAAGATTTCTCATCTTTCTCGAATTCTTTCGACACTTCTACATCAGTTGTAGTCACATTCGATTATCCATCTAGTACATTCTGTGGTGCAAACGCATATCACATGCAATCGAACACATGCAGTGACATCATGCAGACAAACAATGATGTTGCCGGAATTATTAAGAAACAGATGAAGAACAATCTTCAAGCAGAAGCATCTCTCCTCATCTCATCTCCTTATTTACTTGGCCTATGGTAGATTTTCATAATTTTTATTTTTCATTTTATTTTTGTTTGTATTACATAATAAACAAATTATTCTCATGCATTTAAAATTGATTCTCTTTGGGTTTATTAAATTATGTAAGTTGGTTGAATTTAAATTTCCAAATTTAGAAAAGTTAGCTTTAAATTTGTGAGAACATGGAATGATCATATTTGATTCCACTAGAAAACATTGTTCAACACTTATCAACAAGAATCAACCACTTTAAAATTTTTGTATAAACAAAAACAATACGGTTAAAAATTGAAAAGAAATAAAAAAATTAAAATAAAAATTTGGTTGTCAATGAAACATATGGAAATGGAGACAAAATTCTTTTATCTGTTATTGATGCAACCAACTTTGTTCTTAAAGTTGATTGTGAAGTTATATATGGTGTTTCACAAGAGGAAGTTTGTGCGGAATATGCGTTTCAAGGAAGTCGAAACACTTTATCATCTATTACGTTTCCAGAAGGATCTAAACTTAAAACAATCAACGATTGTGCATTTACACAATGCAAAAAAACTATCATCTGTTGACCTTTCGAACTGCAACTTTTTAACAAATATTGGAATCAAAGCATTTTATGAATGTAGTACTTTATCAAATGTAATACTTCCAACAAATTTAGATATTATTTCACGTAATTGCTTTGGATATTGTGATCTACGAACAATAAACATCCCAAATAATATCAAAGAAATGAAAAATCGTTGTTTTAATTTCAATAATAATCTTAAAACAGTTACAATAACTGATAATTCCATGTTGACAAGAATTAAAGAATATTCAATGCAAGGATCTATTATCGAAACAATATTTTTGCCAAAAAATGTTAATTATTTTGCAGCAAACTCTTTTGAAAATTCAAGAACTTTAAAAACAATCACATGTAATCCATCAAATCCATCATTTTCTGTTATGGATGGTGTCTTATATAACAAAGAGAAGACTATGTTGGTCAAATATCCTGCAAATCATGGCACATCATTTGAAATACCAGAAAAAGTAACAAGGATCGGATTTTGTGCATTCATTTATTCAGTGATTGAAAGTATAACATTTCCATCAAATTTGAAAACAATTGAAGGATGGGCTTTTGCATTTACAAATTTGAAAACACTAAAAATTCCAGATACAGTTACAGAAATATATAATGGAGTATTTGCTGGCTGCGTTTATTTAGGAGAAATAACATTAGGTGCTGGAATGACATACATTCCAAATAATTGTTTCAGTAATGCAAAAATTACGAAAATTATAATACCAGAGAACATCACATCAATTGGAGATTATGCGTTTTCCGATTGTCCAAATCTGAAAGAAGTTGTATTACCTTCGACAATAACAAATCTTGGAGGTTCGTGTTTCCCAACAAATGTAAATATCTCTTTCCCGAGTGATGCAAAATTATCTCTTGATGATCAGCAAATTCTTTACGATCTCGACAAAATTGTTTTAATCATGTGTCTTAAGAAGAGTTCATCATACATCATTCCAGAAACAGTTTCTACTATCCGAGCACCCGCATTCAAAGACATGACAGATCTAACTAAGATTGAATTTCGCTCAGGCACAACACTGAAAACGATCGAGTCCAGTGCATTCTGTACATTGAAAGAAACAATAATCACCAATAATTGTACATGTTGATTTAACAGTGGCTGATGTAATACCACCTATACAAGATATTGCTCTTGTATAATCTTTGTTATAGATAATACCACATTCTGTTTTATAATTTTGATTATTTGTATCAACAGTGATCGTTTTCAATTGATCACATGATTGGAAAATAGTTAATCCAAATTGAGCAATGGATGATGATATTGAAAATGATGTTGATTTTGGATATGCATATATTATTTGACTATTGTTTCTTGCCAATAATGTTGCTTGGTTTTCAACTCTGTAAATTTTGTTATTTGTATCAATTTGTATTAATATAATATTTGGTGCTCCTATGAAAGCTTGAACATCAATTGATGTTAAAGAAGCTGGAATAATAACTTTGATCAATGAATTACATGGATTAAACGCTGATTGTTCCACTTTTGTGCATTTTGAAGGAAATGTGAAATTGATTAATTTTGTATCAGTAAAAAGAGAATCCTTCTCAAATTGATTTGGCTTTTTCTGAATACACTCACAATTTCGAACAAGCATAAAATCGGTTTATGTAAAATGACTTGTGATTTGTTATTCAATAGATTGCATAAAATATTTTTGGTTAACGCGATCGTAATTATTCAATTTTACAACAGTTTTACAATTTGAAAACACCATTAATTTTTCAAATAATAAAATAAAGTTCAATAATTTTGATAGGATTGTACTATTAAGCTTCAGTTTCTCAGCTCATCATTGCATTTGCGTAAAATAATTTCACAGTCTTTACTAGAACAGCGAATTGCTGGCTTAGTTGGATAATTTAATACATATACTTTTCAAAGAAAGTTGTATTTTGAATCACAAATTTGAAAGTTGAAAATGTAATTTTATTAATGATGTTAACTACAATAGATACTATTACAATAATTTCGGTTGTAGAGAGAGTAAAACCTTGAACTGGTTTGATTCTCACTTCAGAACATTCAAATTTATCAATTTCTTTTATTTTCTTCATAAAATTCTTCATTACTAAAAAATAAGCATTATCCTCAAATGTTATTACCATATCCAAAGATCTTTCAAAAATTACAATATTTAAATTTCCGATTGTCAGAATTCTCGTTTTAGAGTTACATAGTTTAGTATTTAAAAACACCGACATTGTTTATGAAATGTTTTCCTCAAAATTCCTATCCATAATATTGAGCTGTCCCATAACGATAGGGGTAATCTGGCACTTTTATTTGTTTATTTCAAGTGGCACTTCTATTTACATGGCAATAATTTGCCTTCAATTTATTGAAGCATGAACCTTATTTAAAATGTCCTACTCTCATTATACTAGGAATTTGAATTTAAATCGAAGATATCCATTATTAATATTTAAAAAATACAGCCTTTATCATCACAAAATTATATCGATCTTTGTCTTTTCCTAAATTTCTCTCCTTATGGAGCTGTATCTATTAAAGATACTGAGAGCAATGAAATAACAAAAATTCATGAAACAATTTTTCTTAATTGCTCATCAATATATGAAGGGAGCTCTGTTTATTATAAAGGAAATGAGTTAATCCAAAGTAAAACCTGCTATTCTTTGTCACAATCAAAAAATTCATCGAATGCTTTTCGATCGGTTGTCAAAAATCAAGAAAATAAGTTGAATTCTTTGAACTTTTCCTCGATCAATCTTTGCGGAAACAAAGATACTTATTTTACTATAAATCCAGACATCGGAAAGCTAGAAATAGCATATTCAAATATCTCTAATTGTATTGCTTCTTTTAAACCTGCATTCGATATTGATAATATAAAATCTGACAGCCTGATAAAAATTCAATATTTTTTAATATAAGTGAACACCAAGCTGAGATCTTTAGTTATATTTCCAAATCAGAAGAATCTAATAGTATACTAAATATAAGTTTCTGTAACTTCATTGATAATGGGAAGAATGATCAGATAAAATATACTGCGATGATCAGTTCAACAAATTTAGAAGTTGAAGTTTATCACTGTGTTTTCAGTGGAAACCAGGCCGATAAAACTTTTAGAGCCACTCGATCATCGGCTGGAATAACTGTAATATCTTCTTATTGCGATAAAGAAGATTCAACAGGATCGGGAATTGTAACATTTTCTAATAAGCAAATAGATTTTACTTCTATTCCACTACAGTATATGAAATGCGAGTTTACTATTGATATCACCGCAATAAATGCAGATCTCTGGAGTTTCAAAGATCTCATTAATAACTTCTCTCTGTTTATTATATTCATAATTTCAGAATAGAGAAAAATAAAAGGGATATTATTATTGTCGTCTGGCGGTTCTAGACGACAATGCGAATTTTCGGATTATAGAATTTTTAGCCAGATAAAGAGCTACTCCATATATAATGTGTGTTTGCAGACGATATACATAGATATCATTGATGTTCTCCTTTATTTAGGTACCAAAACATGCTTGTAAAATCTCTTTTTTTAGACAATGATAATTTTGTCACTTTTCCAGACGACAATAAAACATCCTCAAAATAAAATATGTATTTCTTAGTATTTTTAAAATTTTAGTTCTCAAATTAGCAATTATATAATTACAAAGTGTTATAAATGCATTTCAATTCAATTTCTATTAGTTTTTATTCAAATTTCAATGAGTTTTCACAAGAATATTGGTTTCATTCTATTCTTTTTGAATATATATTCAATTTTAAATGTAATCTAACGCATTGACAATAACAGGAGATATTCCTAGGTATAAATATGAAAATAATTATACACTAACCATTATTTCAATTCAAAGATGCTCTTCTGTTGGAGAAAATGCATTTGATAATTGCGGCAATCTTACAGATGTGTATTTATCTGAAGGATTAATAAATATATCAGATTATGCATTCCGAAATCCCGGAATCATTAACATTGAGTTTCCGAATTCATTACTAAGGATTGGAAAAAACTGCTTCAGGGGCTGCAATTTTTACAATCATTCACTTTTCCAAAGAAATTCGTTCAATAGGATACAGTGGTTTTGAAGGATGCAACGGCCTTTCATCAATTACTTTATAAAGTAAGGTAATAGTCGAAGGTCGTTGTTTTTCTAATTGTCCATCACTAGAAAAGGTAAATCTTCAGAATTATCAAATTGAATTCGCCAGGGCAGTTTTTAACGATTTTTAAAAGATCAAAACAATATATTTCCCAGATGCAATGAAAAAATTGGGAAATGAAACATTTTTTAGGTGCATAAATTTAGAAAAAGTTCGTCTTCCACCAACTCTTCAAGTAATCCCAAGTGATTTTTTTCTTTGCGTGTGAATCATTAAAAGAAATCCATATTCATTCAACAGTTAAAGAGAAAGGAAATTATGCATTTTATGAGTGCAACATTTCAAATTCTGATTTTGTTTTGCCAGAAGGTCTAGAAATAATAGGAGATCAAGCTTTTAGTTTTGGCTTAATGATAAACAATAAAAAATGTTGCTGTTTTTGATCAATCATTGTTGTTGTAGTTGTAATTTTCAGGATATACAAAAGTGCAAATGAGGATAGTGATGATGTCCTCAATGGAGAGTACCTTTTGCAGTACATTTCGAATCAGATGTGGATGTACCACCTTGGGCACCCCAAACTTCTAAAAAGTATATTCCTTTTTTAAAGTTATTTCATACGCTGAACAAACATAGGGCGATGAACAAGGATATTGGAAGGAAAGCGAATAGTGATCATCATCTTTGCTGATTTTTAAAGATTCGGAATGAGATACACTGAAAATCCCGAAATAATTTTCAGTTTGAACGCTTTGGCAAAAAATGAAGTATTCAAAAGTTTAAGGCTTCAATGACATATTGTCTTTCAATTCTAGACTTTATAATAAAAGAAATCGAAGCATCATCAATGAGAATGATGATGACAAAGTTTCAAGAAGATGAGATTAATTTATTTTATAGAAAATGTCTAAAGTTGCATAATCTTTCCATCATTTTCCTATATAAATGTCACTTTTCGACATTTTTTTGTTTCCATCTTTTAGGGATAAATCTAGTCAAATTTAATGCCTATTTATCAAAATAGGTTTGTATATACCATTTTAAATGATGCTACAAGAACAGCAACTCTTGGAGATGGATCTTCAGTAAATGGAAATGGATTTGTAGAAAAAACATCTATTTCTGGAACTGTAGACATCCCTTCATCTCTAAATGGCTATTCATTAATATCATTAAGCCACTTTTCTATTCGAAATTGCAATCAAATAACAGAATTAATTCTTCCGCATTCATTAGTTCAACTAGATAATGCAGCTTTAACAGTTTGTGACTCACTAACAAATTTAGTATTCCCAAACTCAATACGAACATTTGGAGATTTTATTGACTTTTTTAGAATCGCCAAAAATATTACTTTTGAAAGAGGTTCCAAGCTTACATCTGTTGGAACTCATTTTTTGAGATATTGCCACGAATTAGAATATCTAGAATTGCCATCATCACTAATTTCAATTCAATCGTTAAATTGTTTTGAGAAGAACTATAAATTGAAAAAGATCGTTTATTGTGGTGATGGAAATTTTGATAGTCTTGATCGATTCATTGATTGCCCTTCAAATCTAATAATTGAAGTTTCCATAAGGTATCCTTCTCTATATTTTGCTGGCATAAAAGTTAGTCCTTGCACTAATATTACCTGTATCTCAAGTATTCAAAATTATTTAAATAGAAGCATTTTTTGCTTCCAACATTCCATGTATAGTATACTAGTGATAAATGCCATATTTACACAAAATAAGTGACAATAAGATTATACCGATTTTTTTTAAAAAATGTAAATATTTTTGTTTCGTATTTCGTAAGATATGAATAGAATTACAAAATCTCAATAGCTTTACTCAGTGATTCAATTTCTATTAGTTTTTATTCAAATTTCAATGAGTTTTCACAAGAATATTGGTTTCATTCTATTCTTTTTGAATATATATTCAATTTTAAATGTATGGATATAGAATAATGAAGCAATAACTTGTCTTAAAATTTTGAGAGATTTCTGATCGTTTAAACAATAAAAAATGTTGTTGTTGTTTTTGATCAATCATTTCATACATAATTGCACATATGATGAAAACATGGCTAGCTTACCAATATACTATTCCGAAGTATACCATAAACGTACTCTTAGGGAAGAAAGTTGGGAAAACATTCGAATTCATTTTGATTACAGATATATGGATGGAACGATAAATAATGGGAAAACTTGTTATCAAAATGGTGCTTCTGTAACTTATAACGGTGTGACTTATACTTGCACACAAGATGATGTTTTAACGACTCAAAAGGCCCAAGCTGCAAAACAGACAATGGAGAATGTAAGAATCTATTTACAGAAGCTTCTTAAAGTAATACCTTTGACAAAATCTATTACCGTTAGAGATTATTTTTCTTATATGAAATATAATCTTCCATATTCTGTTTCGAATGCAGATTTATATATGGGTATTCTAGTTAGACCATATGGCAATAAAAACCCATTGGCGACTGCAGGATCTAATACTCAAGAACCAACATACTACAGACCAATTGTTGGAGCTGTTTTCTTGAATGGAAGATCATTACCTACTGCACCACAAAACGAAAATAGTACTAACTGTCAGTTTTTCTACGTTTGTGTTCATGAAATTTTCCATGCTCTTGGTATTTCCTATGTAAACTTTAACTATTACCATCCTTATGGAACAAATAAACCTCATGAGCAAATTACTTGCAGTTTTACAAAGTCTGGCAAGAGATTTACTTTTTTAGTAACGCCTTACGCTCATATTTTTGCGAAGAAGCAGTTTGGAGTCGAGACATTCTATGGAGATGATGGAAATTGTCCTTCAGGTATCGAAATCGAGGACGGCGGCGGAAAAGGAACAAGACGTAGCCATGTAGAAGGAAGAACATACATGACAGACCTCATGACAGGTGTTACTATACAAACAAAAGCAGGACCTTTCAATAGATTGACTGATGCTACTTTAGCAATTTTGCAAGATACAGGAAATTACAAAGTCAATTGGAGAATGGGACAGCCACTTGTATGGGGACATCCTGAATCAATCAATGACCAATATATTAAAGATTTCGCTACTGGACCTCCACAAAATGTATTTCCGGCTTATTATAACTACGATGCAAGCAATAATTATCCTATTGGATATACAGGATTCAATTTCAAGTACTATGGACCAACAAATGCTTATAATGCTCCTTCATGTCCAAATTCAAATTCAGATCTTCAGAAATATTGTAACGCAAAGAGTTTCTATAATCCAAAATCTTATTCTAAAACAGGTCAAGACGCTGTTTACGATTTTATGCCACTAATTTATCCTAATTCCGTTTGTCCAAAAGGTCAAGCAACACTTTTAACAAGTCTCCAAGGCAGTAAACAATGTGGTACTTACAAGTGCAACGGATATGAGAGTTTTACGATCGAAGTTCCAACAGATACTTTTGGAGGAAAAAAAACAGTCACTTGCACAAAGTCAAATGTTGGAAAAGTTACATCTGATCCTTTATATATATCAAGTGAATGGTCAATGCCACGAATGTATTGGTGTCCAGATCCAGAAAGATTCTGCAGATCAGTCAAATTATCAGAAATGTACTTCAGAAACGATCCATTCCTCAACTATACGAAACAACTTGTAGATGTACCAGATCCAAATCCTCCTACACCAACACCAAAGACTCCTACACCAACACCAAAGACTCCAACACCAACACCAAAGACTCCAACACCAACACCAAAGACTCCAACACCAACACCAAAGACTCCAACACCTGAATTACCAACACCTGATCCGAAAACTCCAACACCTGATCCAAAACCTCAAAATCCAACACCAGAATCGCAATCACAAACTGCGGAAAGTGAAAAACCAACTCAAATAATTTCTAATTCGGAGTCATCTTCAACTTCTAACGGAAACAATAGTCAAGATGATAATTCAAATGATAAATCAAACAAGGAAGGTTTGTTATCTGGTAAAATGAAGTGGGTTATCATTGGATCTATTATTGGAGCTGTTGTAGTTGTTGCAATCATTGTTGTGGTAGTTGTAGTTGTCAGGAAACACAAAAGTGCAAATGAGGATAGTGATGATAGAAACTTTTTAGTCTAAAAACTTTTTTACTTCTTCATTTTTTTAAAATCAAACTTATAAGTATTTAGTCACAACATTAAGATCTAGTTTTTATGAGCGATAACAAGATTCTTGAATTTCGGTTCCGATTTTTTTTAAACAATTGATTTTCTTATGATTTGTTATATATTTACAAAATTTCTTATAGTTCAAAAAACCTTATTGTTCTGAATTCAGATTGTCTGTAATGTATCGTCATATTTAATTATTTCTGGCTCGGCGGCCACATTTATTCTTATAAGCTTAATGAGGTGAACATATGTAAAAATGAATTCATTCTGTACAGAAAAAATTGAATTGTCTCTCAACTCCAATTAGATCATGCAAAATGGCAATCATTTTAGCTTTGCTTTACAAAAATATTGAAGAACAATACTACACATCAGATGGGAAAAACCTTACTGCAGTCAATGACACTTATTCAGACCTTAAAATTTCGGTAAAATGCGAAATTATCCAGAACAAATGTTTTTATCAACTTCTTTCTTTAAGATCATTCACCTTTGAAGAAAATTCTAATTTGGTATCAATTGGAAGCCAAAGTTTTTATGAATGTAAAAATCTAACAGCAATTGATCTATCATCATGTCATAAACTAAAAATCATATATAATTCTGCATTTTCAAAGTGCATAAATGTTTCTTATATCAATTTACCCGAAGGACTACGTGAAATTCAAGGTAGTGTTTTTTCCGGAATTTCATTGATTACAAGTATTACGATCCCTCAATCGGTTGAAATACTTGGTCCAAGTGTATTTTCTGAATGTCGCAAACTAAAAACTATTAATTTTGTAGAAGGTTCGAAATTGAAAATAATTGATTATTTTTTTATTTCTCAAACAAATATTTCTTCATTTGAAATACCAGAAAATGTTGAAAAAATTGATGGAGGGGCATTTTTTGAAACAAAAATAAAAACCCTTACTCTCAATACGAAAAATCAATTTTTGACAATTGAAAATGGCATAGTTTATTCAAAGAATAAAAGCAATTTGTATCTTTTTTAAGTTCACCTGTTGGTGAATATATAATACCAGATTATATCACAACAATAGGAATAGATTGCTTTTATTTGTCAAGTATAACTTCAGTAATTATTCCACCTAATGTTAAAAGGTTAGAAGAATTTGCATTCATGGGAAGTTATATTAAGAATGCTACATTTATGGGGCCATTAGATTATATTGGAGAATCAATTTTTGAAATATGTGATCAGCTTGAATTAATTATTTTCCCTAATGTTTCAATAATAGTTGATGCTTTAGCATTTGTATCATATTTCAACTTAAAAGTTCAAATGGCATTCACACATAAAACATTATTTTCTTCAACAGCATTTGATATAATAACAAATGTTTCTATTTCTTATTTGAATGAGTCTAATCTTATAATTGACAAACAATCTTTAATTATGAATTATGATCAATCATTAATCTATGAATTCTGGGGATACAATTTCTTATCGCTTACAATTCCTACAACAGTACAAACAATTAAAGAAAGTGCATTTGAGAACTCATCAATTTCTGAAATAAATTTCCAATTAAATTCCGAACTTTCTTCTATAGAAAATAATGCATTTAGAAATTGTTCAAATTTGAAATCATTTAGTTTTATGTCAAATAATTTTAATTCTTTAGGATCTTCAGTATTTAAAGACTGTATTAAATTAGTATTTGTTACAAATATTAAAGATGTTCCAGAGAGTTGTTTTTCAGGATGTACATCATTACAAAATGTTACCTTCAGAAATGGTGCAACATTTATTGGACCTAGATCATTTGAAAATTGTATTTCTATAGAAAGTATTAACATCCCATCAACTATTGAGACGATCTCGGAATATTCATTTATTAATTGCATTCAGCTTAAATCAATTGTTTTCTCACAATCAAATTCTCTTTCTAGTATATCTATAAATGCATTTTCAGGATGTGATTCCATTGAAAGTATAAACAATTTTGAATCAACTGATTACAAATGCATCCAAAATACTCTTTATATCAAAAATGAAGGAAAACTTCATCTTGTTTATCATGTAAGAAATTCCCCTGAAAAAGTGATAATTATCAATTGTTTTGTTATCAAAAGTTATTCATTTGATCATTGCTTCAATATAGAGAATATCAGTATCCTTTCAGATAGTGTCACTTTGATTGAATCAAACGCATTCAACAGCTGTTTAAATCTTAAGTTTATCAACTTCCCATTATCGATTCAAACTGTTCAACCGCATTCATTTAATGATTGTCCTTCAATTAGATGCCCACTTCGAATTGAGAATAAAACTCTCAACTACTTCTAGAGATGCGAGTTTCCGAATTTTTTTAGCCCTGGGATGTCATAACCGCTGCGGTTTTGTAAAATTTGGGATAAATTTTGACAATCCATTTTTTGTGGGATGTACGTTTATATCAATTTGCTCGGCGTTTGCCGAGCTATTGTACAATCCTACTCGAATTCATTACGCAGCCCTGGTCACTCAAAGGCCAGGGCATACAATTACAAAATAGTAGAGTGAGACTCTTCTAATTTCTTCCAATCACAAGGAAGATCTTAGAAGAGCCTCACTCTACTCGAACACATTACGCAGCCCTGGTCACTCAAAGGCCAGGGCATACAATTACAAAATAGTAGAGTGAGACTCTTCTAATTTCTTCCAATCACAAGGAAGATCTTAGAAGAGCCTCACTCTACTCGAACACATTACGCAGCCCTGGTCACTCAAAGGCCAGGGCATACAATTACAAAATAGTAGAGTGAGACTCTTCTAATTTCTTCCAATCACAAGGAAGATCTTAGAAGAGCCTCACTCTGCTCGAACACACTACGCAGCTCCTGCTCAACAATGAGCAGGTCTTACCACTTTGAGAGGCTTTCGTTCGAGTTCTGATGCAGATCCCAACGCGAGCGAGAGTCTCTCAAGCAAGCTTCTAATTCGTAGCTAGAGTTTCACTCTTATGAACTGGCAGCCAATTTGAGAGAATTTCGCTCGAGATCTAATGAAAAATCAGAACTCGGCCAAAAATTGCCCAAACAGGCTTGTAATTCGTAGCTATAGTATTGATCGTATGGATGTGTTGCCAATATTAGAGACTTTCGCTCGATGTCTGATATTGCATCAGACATCGAGCGAAAGTCACTCAAAACAGCTTAGACATGTCTATTTTGACGGCATTAAATGATTTCATAGGAAATGTCTCAGTTGTTAATTAAGTTCACGTGAGCTTTTATGAATGAAAATAAGTAAAAAAAAAGAATTTTCTCAAAAAAAATTGTGTACGCATTGAAATTTTTATCTATAAATTTAGATATGTCATCAATAATATAATATAATTTTAAATTCGTGGAGTACACTTGGGATAATTGAATATGGGCTCCCCCATCCCAACCTCTCAAACTTCCTCTGAATTTGGACAAGGTATCCCAATCCCAAAGACCTATCTGAATAAAATGAAATAAGTATATTATATATATTATTTATTTGCTAATAATGAGCATAAATCGCTAAAATTATGAAGAAATTAAAAATTAAAAATTAAAATTAGAAAAAAATGTTGATTTAATGAGAGAATATTGTATAAAAATAGAATTATTAGCTAAAATACGTATTAATTTTATGATATTTCAATCACATTAACGAAAATCGTCCATTTTTAATTCAAATGGGCGGGAAAAAAAAATAAAATTCCAAAAAAAAATTGAATTGGGGAAACGATAGGGGACGGGATATGAGAAACCCCATATGTTTGGGAATTTTTCGCATCACTAACTACTTCGATATGATTGAAGAATCTGGAATTTCACGTAATCTTCTTATTTCGTGTATTGATGTTCTTAGGACTAATAATGTTCAATTAGTTAAACAAATGTATGAAAGTGCTCCCAATCTTTATTGGAAACGTCTTTCTAAATTATAAAGATTCATTCTTAAAATATTCGTACTATAGTTTAGATTAGATAAATGAACGATAAAACATTTTTTGTAATAGTTTGAATGAAAAATAATCGTTTTTTGCGCGTTTTTTGTCGGAAAACCCCATATGTGCAAACATCAAAAAAAAATATATATATATTAGATCTTATTTATCGATGTATTAGTATTATGAAATATTTTTAAATTCTTTGAATATGATTCTTTGATTGAGTTTTCTATCTTTTAAAATTTAAATGGCATCCAAAAGTCGTCATGTTCAATTAAATTTATTTCTAGATAAAAAATTGATGAGGATATTTCATTTCTGATTACTTAAATTTATTTATATTAGTGCGACTCTTTTAATTAATACTACGATATATACTTTAAAATATTACTTTTAATCAATAAAAGATAAGTTATATTTACTTTCATTTAGTCATTTCAATTATTTTATTTACAAGAGGTTCGGTTTCTTCAAAGAATTTGTTGTTTGCGCGGTCGAACACTGCATAAGATGTGATGACAACGTCATCCCACCAGAAGCATTTGATGTTGAAATCTCTTGCACATCCAAGATAGAATTCACACCATCTCATTCTGTCTTCAAGATTATTAAAATTCCTGGATCCAAACTCAGTAATAACAACTTCAATATTATTCATTCTCATTGCAGCAGTAAGATTTTTGAATGATTCTAAAATGCTTTCTTCATAATCTTTTCCGTATCCGCTCTTTCCAGGGAATTTATGATTGCTCTTTTCATCATTGTCCATTGTGAAGAAATAAGGATCATAGTTGTTGACAGACAAAGCAACATATTTATCATCAGGAATAGTTACGTTCTTCATGGCTTCGAAACTGGAATTTCCTGAGTAAGTGTTGAAAAATATGATTCTATTGAGGTTATTTTCATCTTTTGTTCCTCTGACTACTTCATAGCACTTCATATTTAACTTGTTTATGAAATCCCATGATTCTTTGTTTCCTGGACCAAATTCTTTGACATTTGGACACTTTCTTTGACGAGTTTCGTTCATTACCTGGAAAATCAAGTGTTGATCACATTCTTTAAATGCATTAGCAAGTTGCCACCAGATATCTCCGAGCTTTTTCGTTGAATCTTCTAAAGATTCTTCATTGAATAAATCAGGAGAGAGGAAATCTTCATGGTGACAGTTATGTTTTATTGCGCTGGTAACAAATTTCTTCACACAATGATTGTTAAAGGAATAACGGTCTATCTCTACTTATATCACTCGTTTATTATTAATTTTCAATACCACTAGTCAGAATGTTGTATTGTTGTATTAAAAGATCATAAAATTTTAAGGTTATCTGAGGAAAAAAATATATTTGTAAACATTTCAAATTCTCCATCAAGAATGGGGCGACTTTTTCGAAGGAAGCCCCACAGATTCAAGCGGTGGAAAAATTCCATCAAACGGCCAGTATCATGTTGAAGATGATAATTTCGCTGGTTTTTCAGACAACACGATCTTTTTTTCTACAAGTTCAAGTACGAATAAATTATTAGTTGAAACGTCATCATTTTCGCATAATAAACTAGCAAATAATAATTATGATGGTGGAACATGTCTTTATTTTTATGATTCAGGTGAATGTTGTCAAAATAAAATTTGTTCTATAAATAACAGTGTCAATGGACAATATGTTTATGGTCACCACTCTCGTGTTTATGTAACAAATTCTAATACAGCTAAGAATTTTCTGAATTTTTCTACTATTTCAGAATGTGGAAAAGAAGAAATTGTATATGCACCAGTTTTTCATACAAATGGAAATATTCAGATTAGTAAAACAAATATTTCTAAATGTTTATCATGTCGATATTCATCATTCGATATATATAATGGAGCTACATCACCATTTATTGCATATTCAACTTTTTCGAATAATTCACATTCTACTGAATATGGATTGGTTTTTGAATCAATAAGTCGGGCTTCTTTTCTACAGGAAAGTAACATACTTAATAATAAAGGAACAGATACAATCACTTCATATAATTCAGCAAAACTTACAGTCGAAGATTGTGTAATTAAAGGGAATTCGGGTGGTGTTTTATTTAGAAATGAAGGGTCATCTATTGAAGTAATTCATTGTAATATTGATGATTCATATTCAACAGATGGAACAGTTTATACAAATCAAATATCAACTAATGCTTTTGAAAATAAAATAGTTCATTTGAGTACAGTTAACTGCAAAGCTATGTATTTTGGAGATGAAATACAAACTAAATCTGAAATAAAAGATTATTATGAAATGAAAGAAGATTTTTATCATTTTCTTATTCATATTATTTCAAATATTCATTCTAACCAAAATTACATTAAGAAACATCTGAAATATTCATATTTAATTTTATTTTTAAATGTTTTTCATAAAGATATCTCATGAATAATAGAATCATATCTTGAGAAGTCATGAAATAGAAAATATTCTGAGTTTACTAAACTGCGAAACAAAAGGCGTAAGTTTCATGTAATACGAAATCGTGAGAATCTCATAGAATATTTTGAATACTTTCTCTCAATATGAAAGTGATTGTATCCAACAGAAACAGTTGCGAATGTTCGATGGTATGGTTTTTCAGAAAACTTTACATTTCAACCATCAGACCAAACATGAAACGATTTATTCTTACAAATAAAACTACAAACAAAAGTGTCAGTTTTCGAATTACATCTACTATTTCAGATGAATTTTTTTTGATTGAACCAAAAGAAGGAACAGTCAATGTCAATGAAGAGATTCCTGTTGTTACATTCAGACTTTCATCGAATGATCCATTTGTTTCTAGTTTGATAGTCTATGCAAAACCAGAACGAGAAGAAGAAATCATTACAACACGAATTTTAGTTTCAGGTAGTGGATAAAATCGTCAGTTCAGATGTGAAGTCGACAACATCCCATTACCAGTTGTTCCATTGAACATCAAAGCAGAACGAACAGTTCGAATCATCAACACAAGATTTATTGATTCCAGTTAGTATCCCTAAGTCGTGTACAGCGGCACTGCGCGCCTCCGTACACCACTTAGCGGTTTTGACACTTTACGAAACCAGTAACGTATATTTTACAACACAACCATAACACCAACTTAACCTTAAATATTTACAAAACTATCTGACACATAAACGACTTCACTAATGATTTCACTAACGACTTCACTAACGACTTCACTACCGTCCTCACTAAATAAAAAATAACCTTATTTTTATTTTTTTTAAATTTTTTATTTCATTACAAAGACATGTCCGACTACATTTACTATGACTCTTTCCCAGAACGTTTCCGTGAACTATTCAAAACTCAAGTAAAACTGAGAAACATGCATTTTAACAAAGACAGACCCATTGACGATGAAAGAAACCCTGAATATATTACAATCCCTTATGACGCAAAGTTCATTGCATACATTCCTTATGGTCGCAGAGGAACGAAAACTATTTCAACAATGACGAAAAATTATTTCTGGAGCGATGAAGAAAATTGCCTTATCTACATAAATGCATACTTAAATAAAGCTACATATTGTACAAAAGAAGGTTGGACTGGATTTGAGCTCTACATATACGACGACGATGGAAACAGACGTTGTGTATACCCATACGATAATATGTACCATTGTTTTCATCAAGCATTAAACGAATACATAGTCAGTAAGGGTCTCATTCCTGCTGAGTAGAAATGTTATATTTTTGTTCTGTCATTTATATAAAAATAAACGTTCTCGCTAAATAATAAAATAAACTTAAAAATAAACGTTGTCAGAGGTGAAAAAATAAATTTAGGTGAAGTGGTGAAATCTCACCTCTTTTTTCACCTCTTTTTTCACCTCATGAATTCATTGCTTTATAACTCTCTTCCTTGGTTCTGGTTTAAATGTTGGAGTCGGTTTTGGAGTTGACTTTTGAACAGGAGTTTGTACTTTCATAGGTTCAGGAGTCATTGAAGGTGTTGTTTGTGAAGGCGTTGGTTTTGACGTTGGTTTTGGCGATGGTGTCGGAGTTTGTTCAAATTCAGCTACTTCAGTATTATTTATAACATTTGCTTTATTTCTTTTCAACATCATTACTGCTCCTGCTGTAGCTAGCAAACCTAGTGGGAGACCATATTTTATATAAGGACTTGACCAAATGCTATTTTTGACAGGAGCTGGTGGAACACCTAACCTTGGTGAGACTGCTCTTTGCCATTGTGCAGCTCGTAAGAAATATTCAATAGGTGCTCCATAATCGTTTGGTAAAGTTTTTTCATAGATGGTGAAGGTTCACGAGAGCTTGATGAAGAACTCATTTATAAGCTTTAAAAATAAACGTTCATCCTTTATTCCTCACTGTCGTCAGTTGCTAAGTTATAGTCGTCAAGTCTTATTATTGTATGCCTGACTGTCTTACTTGTATTGCAAAGCAACAATCCCTCATAAATCCAATAAGTGGCTTTGGTACGTTTTCAGTTGCTAGTTCAATAGGTCCTTAACAGACAATTTGTAGTTATTGGAGCAGTAGATGTTTGACCTTGCTGGAAGCAAAAGTCCACTTCTGTTGGAAAACCACATAAGAAATGTGTGTTGTCATAGCTATCCCATTTATGTTCCACACTACCATCATCCACCAATGACCTCATAACATCTTCATTAAATCCAATCATATCATTGTTTGTATTGCAAGCGTTCGCAACCATTTCATAAAATACAGGTCCATATGATTTTTCAGGTTCTGCAGGCATATTTCCATAAGCTCCCATGGAAAGCTGAAGATATTTAAACTTAGGGTTCTCAAAATTAACATAATAGTTGTCTTTCTTTCTAAATAGTGCCCAAATACTTTTAACATTAATAGGCGTATAAGCTGCTGTAAATGTTGCACTTGAACTATCTGTATTCTTTGAGAATGAACCGTCCATAGGAATCCAATCCATAACTTTAACAGGAAAACATAAAGCCTCGTTTGTATAATGTTCTACAAGTTCTGTATAAATGTTAGGGTCTAAAGAGAATGACTTTGGATGAATGAAACATTCATTAAAATCCATCTTTGTTCGAAATAGTTGCTGGTTTACAGTTGTAATAGTAACTGTTCCACTAGCTTCTACTGCCTTCGTTATCATAGTGAATGGTTCATTCCATGGAACAAATTTATTTGTCGGTGGATTTGAATCTGAAGCAAATGCAACTTTAAGAGTTGGATTGAAAGCAATGATATCATTTACAGATATAGATGTGCATTGTAAGGCGTCGCTACTGAACTTTACTTTAAGCTGAATGTTTCCTGCAAAAGCTGGAATAAATCGAATAGCTTCTAATGGAAGGAATCTTCTAACAGGAATTCTTAAACGAAGCTTAAAATCAAATGATTTTCCTGCTGTAATTGGACCACTAACAATTTGTCCTGTTCTGCATGTTCCCGAATGACTCCATACATCTTCATGTCGAGTCTTTGAAAAAACATCTACTTTCTTTATTTGTTCGGTAGTTTGTGAGTTTGAAGTTATATATGCTTCTTCTCTTGCGTTGTCTTGAGAATATACGATACGACCATTTGCAAGGATTTGATATCCAGCAACTGCATAGAAAGCGTCATCGAAACCAATCCAAAATCCTGGTGGGTTTGTTTTATTGGAACCTGAACCAATTTCTTTATCTACAATAAATTGACCTTCCATTTTATACGTAATGAATGTATTGTAAAGGTCCAACATATTTTCACCAGGAGGTGAGAGATTGAATGTTACCCATGTGTTATCTTTAGCAGTTCCAGGTTGTGATGGAATCTTTGCGTCAGAATATTTTCTATTAGTGTCACCAATTTGAACTGCATTGTCTATGATATCGAAATATGAGCGAATCTGATGAATATGCTCTGCTGGAGTAAATTCGTTTAACTGTTCGTTCTGCATGTATTTACTTCAGATAAAAATATCTATTTACTTCATTATTCTCACTCTTCTTCTTGGCATTCGTGGTGGAAGTTGTTTCTTGACATTTTCAATGAACTGTACATTCTCTTTT